TATACATATACATATACATATACATATACATATACATATACATATACATATACATATACATATACATATATACATACATACATACATACATACATGCATACATAAAGACATATTTTCTGTTGTTGGTCATCTCTGGAAAATGCAGTGAGATCCACTAATGTTATGAGGATTCCCAAATATTTATGATGAAGCATGTGTGTTTCTAATAACTCTTGAATAACTCTTTTCTCTCCCATTTTTTCTTTTTCTCTCTCCCTTTCTCTCATTTATATAGACTTTGAGATCTGCTGGAAAGATCTACATGCTTTTTTTCATGCTGGTCATATTTCTGGGGTCCTTTTACCTAGTCAACTTGATTTTGGCTGTGGTGGCCATGGCTTATGAAGAGCAGAACCAAGCTACCATTGCAGAAATGGAGGCCAAGGAAAAGAAATTTCGAGAAGCCATGGAGGCGTTGAAGAAAGAGCAAGAGGTTTGTAAACTTCCCAACTTAAAGCAGCTTTTCTTTTCTTTCTGGTAAAGCAGAGGTGGGCATCGATGGCCCTTTTATGACTGGTGGGCTTCAACTCCTAGAATTCCTGAGCGAGCCATGCTGGGTCAGGAATATTGGGAATTGAAGTCCATAAGCCATAAAGGGGTCATCGTTCCCCACCTCTGTGCTAAAATGTTGGTTGCATGATCAGAATAAGCATCTCATTGATTAAACATGGGGGCCATTACTCCATAGTTACTTATTCCAGGGTAACTTTGTAATAAAGCTGTAGTAGCGAGTTACTCAATTAAAGATGTAATAGGGAGCTCCATTTTCTCAAGACAGTAGTACGGAACCTACATAGTCAAAAGCCAGCCTGGTGTGTCCATACCCTTGAGGGCCAACATAGGTAGTCCTCAACTTACGACCACAATTGAGCCCCAAATTGCTGTTCCTAAGCAAGACAGTTGTTAAGTGGGTTTTGCCCCATTTTACCATCCCTCTTGCTACAGTTTTTAAATGAATCTCTGCACTTAAGTTAATAAGTTGTTAAGTGAATCTAGCTTCCCCACAGACTTTGCTTGTCAGAAGGTCATAAAAGGGGATCACATCCGTAAAACTACTTGGCTTGGTTGTATGTAGAAAAACTAGACATGATGCGTGCAGGATCTTCTGTTCATTGTCCCTGCCAACATCGATTTTGCCAGAGGAATGGTTGCTGGGTCA